CTCATGCATGCATGCGTGTTCTCTCGCTAAACTAACTAAATAAATAAATAAATAAAATCTTTAAAAAAAAAATAACTCTTCAAACTCAACAATAAAAATACGAATGGTCCAATTTAAAAGTGGGCAAAAGACTTGGAAAAACATTTCTCTAGAAGATATACACATGGCCAGTGAGAACATAAAAGATACTCAACATCAGGAAAATAGAAACCAAAGTCACAGTGACATACCAATGCATGTCCATTAGGATGGCTAGAATCAAAGTGTTGGTGGGGCTGTGGAGAAATTGAAACCCTCATACACTGCTGATGGGAATACAAAATGGTGCAGCTGCTTTGGAAAAGTCTGACAGTTCCTCAAAAAGTTAAGCATAGACTTACCATGTGACCCAGAAATTCTACTCGTAGGTATATATACTCGAAAAATGAAAATACTGGTCCACACAAAAACTTAGACACCAATGTTTACAGCAGCATTGTTCATAATAGTTACAAAATCGAAACAATCCAAATGTCTAATAACTGATAAATGGATAAACAAAATGTAGTATATGCATACAATGGAATATTATTCAGCCATAGAAAGAACGAAGTAACTGATACATGCTACAAATATGTGAAACTTGAAAACATATTAAGTGAAAGAAGCTAGACACAAAAGGTTACATATTGTATGATTTTATTTATATAAAACGTCCAGAACAGACAAATCGATAGAGACAAAATAGATCAATGGTTGCCTAGAGCTGGGGAGATGAGGGGAAATGGGGAGTCACTGCTAAAGGGAACAGGGTTTCTTTTCCACGTGATAAAAATGTTCTGAAATTAACTGTGGGGGTGGTTGCACAAATCTGCACATATACTAAAAACTATTCAGTTGTATCCTTTAAACAGGTAAATTGTATAGTATGTGAATCGTGTAACAAGCTGTCACTCACACACACACACACAAAACAGGAAAGAAGAGGAGATGTTACTGTTCCCTGATATTCTTCTCCACCTCCACGTTTCTCCCTCCTTCCCTTCCTCCCTCCCTCTCTCCCTCTCTCTCTCTCCCTCTGTCTCTCTCTCTCTCTCACACACACACACACACACACACACACACACACACCAGGCACACATGCTCGCTACCACTTGCAGAAGAGAAAATGAAGGTTCTGGGAAGTTGAAATGACCCCCACTCAGCCTCCTAGAAGCAGCGTCTGTGGACACCCCACCCCTCCTGGAGAGGCCCCTGGGTGGGGGGGAACAGAGCTGTGCCCTCTACCCTCCCAGCCACCAGTTCTTGTCTGCATGGAACAAACAAGGAATTCCTCACCCTGGGAGAGGGTTTTACATATTTCCACGAATGGTTCCTCTCTGGTGGGTCATTAAGAGGAGTTAGGGATCACCACACCTCACCCCGAATTTTGCAAAGCACTTTCACATTCTTATTTTCACTTGATCCCCATGTAAACGTCGTGCAGAGGAGAAATGGATGCTCAAAAGGGCCCAGGAGCTTAAATTTACACGGCTAGTTCCTGATGGAGCAGAGATCGATAGGAGCACTCTCTGCAAACGTTCATTTTGTGCCAGCCACTGTGGGAGGCACTGGGACACGTGCAGGCGGCACCATTCACGGGAGGCTGATGCAAACGGGGAGCGCTGTGGGGCCCCCCGCCCCCCACCCCGTGGATGGTGAAGACCGCTGAGCTATCCTTCCCTAATCGCCAGCCCCGCTCTTCCCATCCCCGTGGGAGTGGAAGAAGTCAGGCAGCCTCGGGACCACTGAGATGCTTTCTCGGTCTCACCGAAGCCATCCTTGGCGCCCATCAGAAGCAAAGCCACGGACAGAGCCATCAGAAACAGCCGTGCCCGTGAGGAGGCAGCCTCGCAAGCTCACGAGGACGCGGGCTCTGGAGCCAGCCCGCCGGGGTGGTCGTCCTGGCTCTGCCACCGACCGCTGTGACCGCGGGGGCAAGCTGGCCAACTTCTCTGTGCCCCCACTTCCTCATCGTGACGTGGAGACAACAGTACCGTCCTCACAGGCGCGCGTGAGCATTAAACAAGGTGATACGTGAACAGCACTTGGATGGGCGCCTGATGCACAGCAAGTGCGGGATGCATGTTTATTATTATTCTAGAAGGCGATTTTAAGGCCACGCAGCAGCACAGCACTGCATCTTCACGAAGTTCATACACACGCGTGAAGGATCTTACTTGCACTTCACAGGAGCCCTGAGAGATAGGATAAGCTATCCAATATTGTTTTTACAGCTGAGCAGCGGGTCTAAGGGACTGCCCCAGGGCCACTCAGCTGGGGCCAGAACCCAAAGTCCAGACATCTTTCCCCCTGACACGGTCTCTGGGTGGTGACTCTAGGGGTGGGAACATGTTGTGCCGGTTGCCCTCATAGCAGGCAGCTGGCTGAGGCTGGAAGCAAAGTCAGCCGCTCTGAAGCGGGCGATGGCAGGCCTCCACAGCGGCTGAACCGTGACCGCATCTCTCCACAGCCCCCTGAGGGGGGCGAGCCCATCCTGCCCTCCTGCAGCAAGAGGCCGGGCGGTCCTCCCAGGGAGTGATCGGGACGTTTGCTGGGGACTTCTTCTGCCTGGGTGCCTGTCACCTTCAGAGCAGGGACTCCAACTTTCTCCTCACAGTTGCAGCCCAAGGGCAGCTGGGAGGACGAGGGCCACAGGGATTTTTCCAGAAAGCCCATTCCTGCCCAGGGGTCTCCTTACCTGCAAGGTTACCGGCAGCCCCTGTTGGCACAACCACTTCCACGGGGGGCAGGGGGTGCGTGTCTAAGGATGGCGCACACTGGAAGTAAGCGAAGAAGTGGTGGGCCATTTGCACGAGGACCCGGGACCAGTTGATGGAATTCAGACTCATCAGATTGTGCTTCTTGACAAAAGCCACGTCAGCAAACACGGCCTTGATTGGCTCATCAAGCTCGTCGCTGTTGCCCTCCACTGTCCGGGGAGAGGGGGGAGGGGAGCTATCAGGAGCACGAAGAACCCCCAGGTGGTCGGCACTTGCCTGGCACAAGGCTCTCGCACACTGGGCCCATCCAGCCGGGACCTTCACTAGGCCCTGGTGTCTGCTCTCCCATGTCCTGGCCTGGCTTTCTAGACTCGAAATTAAGCAACTCAAGAAAAGAAACCATGTCTCATATTCTTGTGGTCATACTTCCAACATTTCTACCATTGTATAAAATTAGACATAAATTATCAACCTGCTGGGAGGTTGGGAAAAGGCTTCCTCTTTGGAGTCCGTGCCCACCTGCCCCACTCTCCAGGAACAAGGACAGATGGTTTATGAGGCTATGCGGTGGCAAGAGGCTGATCCTTTCTTCACTCCATGGTCCTCTACCAGGACGTGGGGGTAAAGAGTTTCTGTTCTCATATGCTCTGCCCCTCTCTCAGTTAGATCACAGAGAGGCATTCTGCTCTCTGCTCCCACGTGGTAGGTAAGCTGGCATGGACCTTTCCTCCCTGAGCTGGGTGTGGGCACAGTTTAATTTATGGATGAATTACTGGGTAAATTTATGGGTGAGTTGGCTACTAGTCCAAGTTGCACTCCTCAATCCAGCCCAACTAGCAATCAAGCCAATATTGATCTCTTATCTGAAACCTGGGTCTATTTCTCCACCGGATCCAAACTTGAAGGAGAGGGGTAAGATTTACTGCAGGAAGTGCCAGAGTCAGCACCAAGGTTCTCATCCATTCTACCCTTCTCACTGTAGAGCAGCAATGAGGCCACGGGGCTGACTCTAGATCCACACACCAGCGGGATGTTTGCTGGGGTTCCAGGAGAAAATTTACTGCTCTTAAGATGGAGCCACAGGAAGAGAGACCTAGTTACCTTAAGTAAGCATCATATGCCATGAGAGAAATGAGCCTTAGGATGGGGAAGGCAGAGGAGAGAATGCCAAGAACCTGGGTCTCCGCTGAGGGACTGCTGAGTCACTGAATCAACTATTCAGGAACCCCATCCCACCTCTAGACTTCCAGTTATATAAGCTGGAAAATATTCTTATTCAGACTGGTCGGAGTTAGATTTTCTGTTACTTCCAGCCAAAAAATATCCCAAATAATGTATAACCAGCACTTGTTGATTATTCTGTGCAAGAAGAACCAAGTATAAAACATATGTGGAAATTAATGACTTTAAAAAACATCAGTGTCCAACACACAACAATCCAGGTGGCCCATCCCTACTCCCTGAGCTCCCTGGTCTAAGGGAAAAGACATGTCCACTCTTAGCTCTGGAACAAACACACATCCTCCTAGAAACCAAATCAGAAGATTCCAGAATGAAAGGAAGGACCTGAACAGTGCTATTTAGAAACAAAAATTAATTTCTTTAAAGTCCGCTGTCTTATTTTCTTGAAGCTCAGAACGTGGATAAAACAGAAATGCCCCTTGGGCTCCAGCAAGAAGACATTCATAACATGTTGCACTCATCACCATCCACATCTCTAGCTCTACTACTATTTTACAAATGGGCACCGTTCTCCACTCCGTGGTCAGGAACCGAGCTTACACACAAGCCCTTAGGTAAAAGCCTTCCAATATCTGGTATAAGGCAAGAAGGGAGAAGGTGGCAGAACAGACATAAGAAATGTTATTCTCTGCTTCAATTCTAGGCAAAGAAAGTCCTGGATCCATAACTAGCAATTTTAGTGCTTAGAGTATAATAGGGACCCTCAGGAGCCCAGATATCATACATCAAAATTTTGCAACGAGTGCAGGAAAATGCAGCCAAATATAGGCAACCGCCAACACTAACGTGTAAGATTTCCCAACACCTGCATTAGCTAAACCCAGAATTTTCACTGAAATGTGTAGGTGCTTGTTAAAGAGTAGAAGGGGGTTTTGCTTACTTTTGAACCAATGGACGAAGGATCTTCCTGCTACCGCCATGGGTAAGGTTTGTTTGCACTATGCTTTTTGCTCCTTGACAAAACCAGTGTTCTATGAAAACATCCTCTGTGGGATTATATACCAGGAGGCCAGGCGATTTGTAGGAGGAATGTCTTCTGCCACCAACATTGCTCTCCTGCTAAGTGAGTGACCAAACCAAGCCAGGCCTCCGAGACAGCTCTCCTAAGGCCACAGTGTACAAAACCTCACCAAGACCCCCTACTCCTCATATCCCTACCCTTACTTCAGGGCTACCTGGGGTCTAGCTAGGTGTGCAAAAGTGGAAATAAGAGTTTACGGCTCCATTCAAGCTCACTCTGCCCTTCTAGAGTCTCGATTTCCATAGAACAGATGCCCTGACATTAAAGGAGATCATTTTTTGCTTTTCTGTGAGTACAAAATGCCAAAATTCATGATGTGGCTCAGGAAGAGGTGTCTCCAGCAGTGGGTACTATTGAGTAATTTCCCAGACCTGCTAACCAAATGCACGACTTAGTTGTTTCTACACCATAAGGGAGGGCCTGAGCTGTTAACATGTAAGGATACACTCTTTTAAAATATTTAACATTTTGTGGCCTCTAAAGTTCAGTGCACTGAAACAAAGCCCAGGTCACTTGGCTTGGGCTATGGGTCTGGGGCTGCCTTTATATATGGTACCAGTAGGTTGAACCTACACAGAGGTGGCATTCTTTGGGGTTTGGTGTTGGGTTATACTGTCAGTAAAGGTTTATGCACTTGTCACCTCCAGTAGCTTATGAAACTGTGTTGCCAAGAGCTTGCCCAAAGCTGGGCAAGGCATATACCAGCCTCATGATTTATGAGGGGAGGGAAGGACAGAGACAAAGTAGGAGCAAGGGTGGTCAACTAATCAATGGACCAGTTGTATTCCAGCCCATCTCCCAAAACAGACGCGCTCAAGGCGGCCATGCTTTCCCTGGAGCCTCCATCCCAGCACTCACCTCCAAACACATGGACATTCTCCCTCACCACCGTGGTCATCTGGAGCTCTTGGATCTTCGTGCAGTGACCCTGGGGCAGCAGAACGATGATGTCCACGTTCTTTGCTCCTTGAACACTCTCAATGGCAGCACTTCCTGTGTCCCCAGATGTTCCTGGATAGGAAGAAAAAATAACCCTCCCCTTTACAACAAGGAGATAGAAAAGCAAAGAAATGGTCCCTAAAGCATTGCTGCACAGAAGGCAATGTCTACTTCAAATACCTGAAGAGATGGAACCTCGTACTTAACCTGGGGTCCATTAACCTCCTAGAGATCCAGGGACAGAAATCAGGGCATCTGTGAACTTGGTACCACACAATCTTACATATTTTGTGTACTTAAAATATTCTTCTGAGAAGGTTCCGTAGCCTCCACCAAACTGTCCAAGGGTCCACAGCTCAGGAAAAGGTGACGAACCCTGCTCTAGAAGAACCAGTCACACACACTCCTTGAGACATGCATGCGGAGCATCCCGTGGGTAGATACTGGCATGTCAGGGCACCTACGGGGCTCCGGCCCTCACGCGCACGATGCACACCTACAACCACAGTGACGTGCTTCTTCTCCTTCTCCAGGAAGTACTGCAGGAACTGAGCTGTGCAGCACAGAGACAGGTCCTTAAACGCGTACGTGGCCCCATGCCACAGCTCCAACACGTTCAGCCCATTCCTCAGCCTGGACAGATGGACCACCTCTCTGTGACGGAATCTGCGGAAGGCTCGGTCGATCAGATCTGTGTGGGGAGAGGGGTGGGACAGTGGGGGAAGGGTATTAGCTCTGCCTCAGGCTCTCTCCCCCCTCCACTCCCCTGCACCCATTTCTTTATGCTTTTTTTTTTTTTAAGAATTTATTTATTTATTTATTTGACAGAGAGAGACACAGTGAGAGAAGGAACACAAGCAGGGGGAGTGGGAGAGGGAGAAGCAGGCTTCCCGCGGAGCAGGGAGCCCGATGCGGGGCTCGACCCCAGGACCCTGGGATCATGACCTGAACCGAAGGCAGACGCTTAACGACTGAGTCACCCAGGCGCCCTCTTTATGCTTTTGAGTGTGAAGTTTCTCTCTCCTGCTACCAGATAAGAGACCAGAAATGTTTACCCCAAAGGAGACTATCTATGAATAAAATTACTGAATCCTAAGAAGTCTGCAAAGACATGAACCACACTGTTCATGGATTCCTCAAAGTGATGCCCCCCAGAGAAGAGAAAGAGTATAAGACTTCCATTTTTTACTTTATAAACTTCATCATTTGGATGTCTTGCGTGCATGTATGCCAGTCAAATTTCAACTCAACAATTGTGCAACAAACAAATCAATGTCTCATCTCTTCCCGTGTTCCCTCCTAAAGCCCAGACATGGTTTGTTTTTGCTATACTAAATTTCACACCTGTGATACCAGAACCTTGGGATGGTTCACATATAATCCTACCTAAGGCAGGTCCACCATAGGTAGTGCTTCTCAAACTTTAATTGACAAACCAATCGCCTGGGATCTTAAAATGCCGATTCTCGTTCAGCAGGCCTGAGGAAGGCAGAGAATTCTAATAAATGCCCAGGTGATGCCAACAGGGCCGTCAGCCCACATTCTAGAGCAGTCGTCTTCTTCCCAGCCCTAAACTCCCACCATCACGTCGTGGATTAGTTCACATGTCGGGCCCATGGACCAGCAGCACTAGAATTATCTGGATGCTTGGTAGGAATGCAGAATTCTCAGGTCCCACCCCAGACCTACTGAATCAGAATCTGCATTTTAACGGGATCCCCAGGGAAATCGATGGGCACGTTCCAGTTTGAGAGGAGCTGGTCCAGGACACTCTCCAAGTCCCTTCTGAAATTACCATTCAAGGAAACAAAACAGTAATCTGAGGGTCCAGGTGTTTTATATACATACAGGTAGGAAATATCCCAACATTCAAGCATCTCAGGATGTTGGTGAAGTCTCTAGTCTTAAAGAGATTTTTGAAAAATAAACTAAAGGAAAAACATTCTCTGCAGATCACCATGGCATTCATCCCATTGGAGATGGAAGGTGGAATGGATAAACTCTTTGGGGATATTTCCATTTCTGGGATTCTAGAATCTGGGGGAAAACGCCAACGTTTGAGAAATAGGACTAGAAACCTCCTAGGGGTTAAGTGACGGATTCGCAGCTCTGTGGGGGGCTGGACTGGCAGGGGAATGAGGTGGGAGAGTAGGGAGGCTGGGGGATGCTCACCGTTCAAGACATCTCTTGGAATGAGCTCAGGACCAATGAAGAGGGTGCACAGCTCCTTAACCAGGCTGGGGTAGGAGAGCGTACTCCAGTGACGCAGGGTCTCTATGCCCAGCTGTGGGAGCTCCTTGGGCATGAAGAGACCTCCATCGGGAGCATAGCCAGAGAAGAGGGCCCCCTCAAAGTCGACCCGTGGGGCCATCCCCCGAGTGCTGATGTACCGCATGATCCTGGTAGCCTGCAGAGGGAACGGTCCCAGAGGCACCTGATCTCCAAGCTCAGTACCCCACAGGAGGAAGCTGAAGTGTACACAGCACCCTCAGCTAGCCCTTGGATCACCACTCACGGGGGTAAGCATCCCAGCCTGAGAGACTGGAGCCCTGTCGAGTCTCATGCCAGCTTCATTTGGGACTGTCCAAATCATGACCTCTCCAGTCAAAATGAGGCAAATTCACTGACCTTGGGAGAGGGGGTACCAAGTCATTTCAGGAAAGGAGAAAGTTTGGTCCTCACGGTCAAGGAGTAAGGGAACTGGGAACAGATCATAGCAATAAGGCAACTGCCATTTTGATAGCCCTCTTGATAAGGAGAGGACCACCACAGTTGGTTGTACACCCTTTTGAGAGATATCTGGGTCCACTTCTGCTCAAAAAGTAACCACCGTCAATGGTTGTCTATAACCTAGTGGTTCCTCACTTTGGTAGTTTGTTGGAATCAACTTGGGAGCTTTAAAAAAAGTACTCCTATCTGGGGCCTTCCCTGGATCAATGAGATTAGAACCTCTATATGAGAGGCTCCATGGGTGAAGCTGTTGTGCAGCCAGGGGTAAGAATACAGTAACCAATTTGTCCCACTTTGCCCAAGACCTTCCCAGTTTTAAAACCGAAAGTCCCATGTCCCAAGAAACCCCTCAGTGCCAGACAAACTAGAACGGTTTGGTCATCCTGGTTGAGAACCAGTGCCCTACCTCTCAGCCTAATCCCGGAATCGTTAGAAGTGCTGGCAGCTACCCTAAAGACTGTCTAGCCAAGGCTAACTGGCCCTGTGTGGACTCAGGACTCCGATTGGGGTTGTGGGGAGGAGCATCCAAGAGCGCCCAAGGCCTAACTGTAGTCACAATGCTGCATCAGTTAGGTTCCCAGGAGCCAGGTGCCAGGTCGAGGAGCTGAGCTTGAGCTCTGAATACCGTTCTCTGGATCCAGGTGGTAAATCCAGGAGCTCTGGTTTTAAAGCCCCAAGGCCAGGAAACATTTCAGAAAGGGCCAGCTGGTAAAGAAATCTTCTGACAGAAGGTGGGGCAGGGCAAGGACTTGGACCCGAGGAGCTGAGCCCCTGGCCATTGATTGCAGGCAGACAGTGCCCCTGGGCGCCGGGGGGCGGGGGCGGGGGTGGAGGCCCCAGCAGGCTCAAGTAGGCCTCTGCCTCTCTAGGGCCACCGGGGACCAGTCCTCCGGCTAACCAGGCCCCGGGTCAGGGAAGGAGGTTTTGATAAGGCCTGCAGGATAAGGCACACTCCCAGCCTCTGAAAACACGGTATTACAGAAACCCTACAGAAGGTGCAAAGCCTCGGAAACCCAGGTTCCTCCGAGTCCGAGCGGAGCGCCGCAGCTAGAGGTTACAGAAGGGGCCGGGAGGCCGACACAGCCGAGCGGAAGCCAACCGCGAGAAGTTCAAGAGCGCAGATAAACCGCTACGGACGCCCCCCGCCCCCCGCGCCCCCGGGAGGGCTCCGCGATCGGCGGAAGCGCAGGCCGTCAGGGGCCCCCGCGGCCGGCCTGTGTGCGTGGAGCCCGGCCG